GAGAACCAGATCAGAGCCAACCTCAGGCCCTAGCATGGTCCTAGATTACCTAGAGTGCCAGTATTGGGAGAAGTGGCCTTTAAAGAGGTATCTGAGGTTGAAAAAGGTCCTGTAGTAGTAGTGTGCCCTAATCCAATAAGACTGGTATCCTTATAAAAAATTTCCTGGGAGAAAAGAAAGTAGGAAGTACTCTTGACCACATTGGCACAGGAGATCACTTCCTAAATATACCACCAGCAGCACAGACACTGAGCACGACAATTAATAAATCAGACCTCTTGAAACTGAGAAGCTTTTGTAGGGCAAAAGACACAGTCAATAAGACAAAAAGACAGCCTACAGAATGGGAAAAGACCTTCACCAACCCCACATCAGATAGAGGGCTGATCTCCAAAGTATATAAAGAACTCAAGATACTAGACATCAAAATACTGAACAGTCCAATTAAAAAATGGGCTAAAGAGCTAAACAGAGAATTCTCAAAAGAAGAATCTCAAATGGCTAAAAGACATTTAAAGAAATGCTCAACATCCTTAATCATCAGAGAAATGCAAATCAAAATGACTCTGAGATACCACCTTACACCTGTCAGAATGGCTACGATCAAAAACACTAATGACAGTCAATGTTGGAGAGGATGCAGAGCAAAGGGAATACTCCTCCACTGTTGGTGGGAATGCAAACTTGTACAACCACTGTGTAAATCAGTATGGTGGTTTCTCAGAAAATTAGGAATCGATCTACCTCAAGACCCAGCCATACCACTCTTGGGCATATACCCAAGGAATGCTCAATCATACCACAAAGATACATGCTCAACTATGTTCACAGCAGCATTATTTGTAATAGCCAGAACCTGGAAACAATCTAGATGCCTGTCAACTGAAGAATGGACTAAGAAAATGTGGTACATATACACAATGGAGTACTACTCTGCAGAGAAAAACAATGACAGCATGAAATTTGCAGGCAAATGGATGGAACTAGAAAATATCATCCTGAGTGAGGTAACCCAAACCCAGGACAAACATAGTATGTACTCACTCATAAGTGATTCTAGATATAAAGCAAAGAACAATCAGACTGCAACCCACAGAACCAGGGAGGCTATATAGCAGGGGGGCCCCTAGGATGACTGTGGCTTAGAATAAGTGTTGGTTTTACTCAATTACTGGGCAAGCCTCAATGAAACATTTCACAATTAGGATAAGAATTTATACTGTATCAAGCTGACAATAGAAAAATAAATTTAAAAAAGTGAAAAAAAGTTTCCTGGGAATGTTGGGCATGGTAACTCATGCTTGTGATCCCAGCACTCAAAAGGTAGATCAAGAGTTGAAAGCCATCTTTGACTATATAGTGAGTTCAAGGCTAGCCTGGGCTACATGAGACCCTGGAGAGAGGTGGGGGCAGGGGACTACATGAAGGCACAGGGAGATGATGACCATCTGTAAGTCATCAGTCAGTCTGACGATGCACACCACCCAGCAGGTGCAGCCACAATGCCCTGTGGTTTGTGCAAGGAAGGTACAGGTGGTGAAAGTTTGCCAGCTGCTTGTCTCTGACAAGGCTCTTCTCTGGGTCTGGCAAAGAGTGCACACACCTTTCATTCAGCATCAACATGATCATGGGCTGACATATATAGGTCTTTACTGTAAGTCAAGACTGGAGTAAAGTGTATTGACAGCGACAGTGGCTAGGGGAGGAGGAAGGGAAGGTACTCTCTCCACAGTCAGTTCAGTGCTGCATGGAGAGTTGCATGCAGTGTGCACCTTCTTTACCTTGGTTTCCAAAACCATACACCAAAACCATACACCTTAGTATCACAGTGCAAATAGTTTTATGGACAGGGTACCCTTGGAGATGGCAGATAACTTATAGTACCAAGTTACTAACGAAGGACATTTTTTAGAGATTTATTTATTTTATGTATGAGTGCTGTATCTGCATCATGTGCGCCTTTATGCCAGAAGAGGGCATCGGATACCACTATAGATGGTTGTGAGCCACCATGTGGTTGTTGGGAATTGAACTCTGGATCTTTGGAAGAGCAGCCAGTGCTCTTAACAGATGAGCCATCTCTCCAACCCTGAAGAAGGACATCTTAAAATGAACATGACAAGAGTTATGAAATGAAACCTAGATGGCTGGAAGCAATACACAATGTTAATACCACATTCAGAGCGGGCAGAAACGCTTAGTTACCCTGTGCACTCAGTCAGCTAGCCTCTTTTTTGGTGTTTTCAAGACAGCTGTCCTGGAACTCACTATGTGGATCAGGCCCTGAACTCACAGAGAGCCGCCTGCCTCTGCCACCCAAGTGCTGGGATCAAAGGTGCAAAAGCGTGTGCCACAACCACCCAGCTTAGTCAGACAGCCTCTTAATTCCATCTACTCAGCCATCTGGAATGTTCTCAATACCACATGCTAACTCTACACAGGAACAGAAGTGGGCTGAGGGGAAACACCACTCATAAGCACAAATAAATTACAGGACATTACAATAATTACAGTGCTACCTGATACATACCAAGATTTGACCAAAGAGTTGAGTTAGCTAGAAAAGTCTATAGTGAAATGAGCTGCATAGCTTTCTACTTCACTGTTCGGAGGAAGGAAAGACTGTGTGGGCTGTCCTGTCTCTTTGTAGCCCAGGCTTGCCTCACACTCACAGAGATCCACCTGCCTCTGCCTTCTGAGTGCTGGGATCAAAAGCGTGTGCCACCATGCCTGGCTTTCTTTCTTATTCTTACTATCTACAGCTACCTGACGTTCCAGAATGGAAGACACTAGAACCAACCTTTGGAAAGGGGCTGTGACTGCAGTTCTTGGTATCCAGAGAACATCCTGGCATGGATCTTTAGAAACAGGTGCTAAAAATATCTTCCTGTTCTTGCAATCTCCGTATTTGACAAACAGATAAACAAGGATGCCGAATATGTTTGCAAAGGACAAAATGGCAAGTGCATCCTTGAGATGCACCTCCCAAGAGACACTTTCATGCAAAATATTTGATTCTCCAAGGAATTCTCAGCATAGAGAAGTCAGGAGCTAGTTAAGGGACACCTCTGATGATTTATGGAAAAGGAGAAGGCAAACTCTAAAGATAGGACTAAGGCTGTCACACAGTGATAGTGAGCTTGATTAGCATGTGTGAGAGCCTAGGATCAATCCCTTGGACCAGCAAAAACAGAACAAATAAACGGGGGGTGGTGGGGGGGGGGGTGGTGGTGGGGGAGGGGTAATCTATTTCAGTCCTCTTGAATGTAGCCAGTATTGTGCTAGTGGTCATAAGAAATTACAAGAACAAATCTTACCATTGACAATGCAGAGCTTTTAGACTTAGCAATTTTAATAGTTAATAACAGTTATGGGTGGGGGACACACTTACTGCATGTGACACAACATATAACATACCACCTCATTGCATTCACTCTTTCCTGTAGCTAACTAGTTTTCTTCAAAGTCTGTATGCCTGGAAATGGTATGAGGCAGATGGCTTACAAAAAAAAACAAAAAAAACCAAAAAAACTTCGGGTTCCCCCCAAACTGCATAAAAAAACATGATCCCCAAATGTTTTTGATCGGTCAGTGTCTTTTCATATTTTTGGACAGGTAGCATTAAATACTTAGCTAAAATGTGAAAGAATTTAATCTAGCAGGGGATTTCAAATGCCTTGAACCTTTTTTTTTTTTTTTTTTTTTCAGAGCTAAGGACCGAACCCAGGGCCTTGCGCTTGCTAGGCAAGCACTTCACCACTGAGCTAAATCCCCAAACCCTTGAATTTTTATATATCGGGAGAACAAGGTAAGCTGGATGGGTGGTAAAGCCAGCCTACCATCCCAGCACTTGGGAGGTGGAGGCTGGAGGATCATTAGTTCAAAGTCATCTTCTGATACATAGTTTGAATCCAGCCTAGGCTACATGAGACTTTGTCTTTGAAAACACATACACATATACACACCAATACATATAAACTTAGATAAATGAATAAAACAAACTTTAAAAAAAGGAACAGAGGAGAGCTGAATCTTTCACTGTCAGATCTCATCTGGGCAGTCCGGAAATTCACTGGCTAGTGAGTTGGGTATAAACCATGCAAGCTGTAGAATGAATGGCATTATGACAAGGAGATGCCTGCAGCCTTGCCACTAGGGGCAGAAGCCCCTCTATGGTCGAAGATGCACCATTTCTATTGCTATTGGTGCGAGGAAGGATATGTTGGATGATGTGCCAGGCGCTGGTTGGAGGTGCCGAGAAGCTGCACCTGAGTAAGGTTTGGTTCTCAAGAGAGCAGAGGGCCGCGTTCCCATCAGTGTCCAGGCACGCAGCGGACACATATATTTGAGGTAGTGATGAGGTCTGTGAAGGAAAGAAAATTGGGTGATTAGATTGTGAGTCGGAGAGGATGGAAGGCAGACGTTTTCGAAGCTCGAGTAAACAACGCCTCGTCCTCCCAAGGAGTAAGATGGGCAGTCAGGTCGGTTGATTCGGCCTCGGAGGTCCGGCCAGGCCCGCAGAACAAGCTTTGCGACGGGCTCTGGCAAAGCCTTCCACAGAAAGGCTTGCAGCAGCAACGTGCAGGGACAGAAGACAGCGCGACCACCGGCCCGAGATGTGGCTCTGGACTGTGGACCGATCGCAGCAGGACCGGGGCTCAGGCCTGGCGGCAGACGATCGCCCCAAGTGCCCACCCTGGGCCGAGGCTGTGGTCTGGCTCCGAAGTGCCGACTCTCTGCAGAAACGGAGCTGGGCGGGAGGCCGGAGAGCGAGACCAGAGACACCCTCCCGCGCGCCGCCATCGAGACCGGGGTTGGGGGGGGGGGGCGCGGAGAGGCGTCGCGGGAGGGGCGGGGCCTGGCGAGACCCAAACAAGCCCACGTGCGGGCCGGACCGTCGCGGTGACGTCACGGCGCGTTGGCGCGTTGGCGCGCGCGCGCCGCCGGCCTTACCCTTGCCGCGGGCCGTAAAGCGCGGAAGGTCGCGGGCCGCTGCGGTCCCGGAACTTTCCGCTCCGCGTCCCGTCCCCTCCTCTCCCCATGCCCGGTCCCCCTTTCCGGCCCGCGCCGACCCGCTGCAGCCGTTGTGCTGCCCTTCACTTCCGCCGGGCGTTGCTGAACGCGCTGCCCGCGCTCGCGGGCCCCTGAGGTAAGAAGGCGCCTACGGCTTGCTGGTCCGGGCGGCCTTTCTCGTGGCCGTGAACTCCCGCGTCCTCCACGCCCCTGTCCTCGGCGCTTTGGCCTCCGGCTCCTGGTTGTCCTCCGGGTCTCTGAGGCGGTGCGGTTGGGCGTCAGAATTTCAGTCGGCGGACCTGTGCAGACCTCGGGGGACCCGCGCCCGCTGCCCCGGGCCTGCGCGCGGGCTCTCCCTGGACGGCTGGGCCTGGGGGCGCTGGCTGCCGCTAGGACGGGCTCGCACCAGCTGTCCCAGCCAGCCGTGCTCCCCGCACGTCTGCGGGTGGAGTTGTTTTCCCGCCTAGAAATGTGCAGTTCGGTTGTGCTGTCAGAGACTAAGTCAGGGCGGTGGTGGTGGTGGGGGTCTCCAGTGGGTGACTTGAGGGGACTGTTGTGTGTGATACTGAGGTTCGAGTCCACGGTCTCCAAGCCCACTTTGAGCATTTCTGCAATCTTGCAGTCTTGATGTGTAGGAATGGTGTGTGGTCGAGGGTCTAATTGGAAAGGCATCCTTTAAGGGTCCGCTTTTTGGCGGCAGGGACTTGTATCGTTTTCTTAAACTCTCTTTGAGGATCGGGTGTATTTGTCGAAAAACACAGCATCCTCAACCCACAAGGATCGGGCTGCAGAGGCAGATTCTGTTGCTGTTGAACTTGTCCTGGTGATTCCACGGAGTTCCGTGTGGGAGATGCGTCAGGCTACATTCCGCTTTCATTCTTTGTGACCTGTACCTCATCCTGTCACCAGAGGAAGAATTCAGGAGTTGTTAGCGCTGTCACTGGTTTTATTTGTCTTTTAAAGATAGGGTCTCACACTGTAGCCCAGGCTCACCTGGAACCTGGAGCATGCCTCCTGATTCAGCATCTGGTGTGGTGGGATTACAGGTGGGGAGCATTACTCCAGGCTCGAGCTGTCTGTAAGATCTGAACAGAACCAGTTTGGGTTTTAAGGCTGTTTAGATGCTCCTCTAACTAGTAGAAAGACAGTTATTTTCACGAAAATATAAAAATTTTAAAACTTGCTGACCTTTTATTTCGAACGAGTTTGACATCTTCAGTGTCTGTTTTCCTGGCTTTACCCCCTTTTCCCATGGAACTTTTGTTTTGCTGCCAGACCTTCTGGAGCAAGATGCGCATACTTTCTCTTCCTGGTGTACTTTTATCTTTTTAAGCTACTCCCTTTTTTTTTTTATTAATACATTTATGTATTATGAGTGTTTTGGCAACATATATGATGTACGCACCACGTGCATGCTTGATGCCCACGAAAGTCAGAAGAGAGCATTGGATTCATTGGAACTGAAGTTACAGATGATTGTGAGTCCCCATGTGGGTGCTGGAAATTGAATCTAGGCCCTCTGCAAGAGCAAGAAGTGCTCTTAACTACTGAGACATCTCTCTAGCCCTCCTGTCCTGATGTACTTTAATCTCTAATGCCCTCATCTCTTCACTCTTGAAGGTTATGATGAGCATAAAGTCAACAGTCTTTGTCTTGGCCTTGTCAAACTGGGCATTGAACATGGTTTATTCTTTCCTGAAACTCCTGTTTGTTTTTTTCTTTTCTTCCTTTCTTGCAGCTTGAACATAGACTTCAGAAAAAGTGAGAAAATTCTGAAGAATGGGAGGGGTTTAAGGGAGGAATACTCATGTATTTTACCTTTGCAGTTCTTTTCCCAGCTAGGGAATGAGCTTCTGATTCTGCCTCACAGCTCTTTAGTCTTTGCTTACCTGGATTTCTTTGAAATGCAGTTTGAGCAGGTTGTGATGGCCTACACCTTTAGTCCCAGCACTGAGGAGGCAGAGGCAGGTGGATCTCTGTGAGGTCTAAACCACCCTGGTGGACAAAGCAAGTTCTAGGCCACTGGCTACAACGTGACACCCTGTCTCAAACAACAACAGCAAAACCAAAACAAGCAAACAAACGAAAAAGAAAAGCAGTAGTATTAATCATGATAAATGGTAGGCTCTGGTGCTAGATCTGCTAAGTTTAGTCTTGGATTATAGAGTGGTCACTTTATATAATTTTTATACTTTTATATGTAGGTTTCCTAAAGGATACAGCACAAATTATGTCTGCCCTGTAGGGTCGTACTTAGATTAGTTGAATAGTTGGGAAATGTCTTGCACATTGTAACCACCATCAGAGATGAAACCTCATGCTTGCCTAGCTGCTGCTCTACCCATTGAGCCATCTCCCCAAGCCCCTGTATGTGTTAAGCCTGAACTTGCTACAACTCCTAGGATGATCTTAAATTCCTTCTCTTTTTGCCTCTTACCTTCTTACTGCTGGGATACAGTTGTCCACTGGCCTGGGAGTTCTATTTAATGAGGGAATGATCCTCTTTTTCTCTCTCCTCCTCTCCATTCCTCCCTCTTTTCTTTCTTTCTCTTCGTTCCTCTCCCTCCCCCTTTACAGCTTTGGAGTGCTGCTTTGATATCAGTTGCCCATTTATATTGCATTGTTTGATTTAGGCTTTCCACAACTATGTGAGATAGATATTTCTAGCCCATATAACAGATAAGGAACCTGACACACAAAAACTTGCTTGAAGTCATACAGGTAATGAGATGTAAGGAGATTTAACCCCTACATGTGCTTGTAGAGCTTGGATTTCTCCACTGGATTGCTATGTTATTCCTCCACTAAAATGCCTTACAGATAATTAGAGAGGATGGAAAGTTCTGTTCTAGGAGAAGTACAGAATGTCCTGGGAGAACACAGAAGACTCCCTTACCCAAATACACAATTATATAGGTGTGGAATAGGCTGTGTTCTGAAGAGATACCTTTGCTCAGCAGACAAGTGGCAGGAACTGTGCCAGTTAGAGAAACAATGCACACAGGTCCCGGGTATGGAGGAGAAAGTTAAGCCTGACTCGTTTGAGGAGTAGTCTGCTCCAGCTTGGTGAGAGTTTGCGAGGCGAGAAGAAGAGTGAGGCCAGAGATAAACCACACAGTGAAAGGTGTTGCACTTTGTAGTAAGGAGCTTTGATTTTTCCCTGCAAGCATTAGCCTGTCACTGGAAGGTTGTGAGAAGGGCTGTGAAATAAGATTTCCATTGTGGAAGGCTGCTCGCTTGCTCCTGTGTGTGGATTTAGGTGTGTGAGAATGAGGTGTTCACTAAAAGTTGAAGCTATAAGCCTAAAAGCTTCCTCATGACAGGGAAGGTCCTGAGGAATGATTGAGGAAGAGAGATGAGAAAGGGAGAAATCCAGGTGACACTGGATTCTGGCCTGCGGAGCCACTGGGGACACAGTGTAAGAAAGATGGAGGGGGAGGGAGGGGTGTTTGCATTTGGATGTGCTGGTTTTCCCTGTGGGATCAAGTGGGCATGGTCATTCTGCACATGATAAACAGATCTGAAGCTCAGGTGCAGGATTCTTGGGTCAGGCCATGCATCATGGTGACATTTAAATCACCCTGGAGAAAGATAGGAAGGTTCAAGGTAGAAGATAGACTCCAGCAAAGAGGTGTGGGCCAGGAACCTGTGTGCAAGTGGGAAGAGTGATCTGTGGGCTTCATCAACTATGCTCCAGTGTGATGATGTGAGAGAGAGATCCTCGGAAACCAGCAAATGGAGTGTTTTTGGTGAGAAGTGTCAGCACTATAGTAGGACCAAAGCCTGTTTTTTTTTTTTTTTTGGTTTTTCGAGACAGGGTTTCTCTGTGTATCTTCGGAGCCTGTCCTGGAACTCACTCTGTAGCCCAGGCTGGCCTTGAACTCACAGAGATCCGCCTGGCTCTGCCTCCTGAGTGCTGGGATTAAAGGCAGGCACCACCACCCGTCGGAAGCCTGTTTTTTGTTGCAGGGGGATGAGGATATTGGAGGTAGAATATTTTCTGTTTATTAACTGTCAAGTGAAAGATAGGTTTTTGAGAATTTCATTTATTTATTTATTTGAGACAGGGTCTCACTGCATAATGCTTGCTGGCCTGGAGCTTGCTATGTAGATCATGCTGGCTTAACTCTGTGCTTGGGTTAAAGGCATGGTGCCACCATGCCCAGCAAGGATGTCTTATTTTTAATATTATTTATTTTGTTTTTTTGAGACAGGGTTTCTCTGTATAGCTTTGGAGACTGTCCTGGAACTCGCTCTGTAGACCAGGCTGGCCTTGAACTCACAGAGATCCACCTGCCTCTGCCTCCCTGAGTGCTGGGATTAAAGGTGCATACCACCACTGCCCGGCATGTCTTATTTTTAATGTAGTGTTGGTATGAAACACAAGGTCTCAAGTATTGGGCAGTGGTTGTTCTGCCACTCAACAAAATTTATTCACCCAAGATTTTTTTTTTTCTTTTTTTGGAAACAGGATCTCTCTACATAGTCCTGATTGTCTTGGATCTCAATATGTAGACCAGGCTGGCTTCAAACAGAGATCTAGAGATCTGTCTGCCGGTACTCCCAGTCTCAAAAATAAGTTTTTGTTTAAAAAATTCAGCTGGGGATTGCAGAGATGGCTCAGTGGTTAAGAGCACTGACTGCTCTTCCAAAGTGCCTATGTTGAATTCCCAGCACCCACATGGCGATAAAAGTCTGTAACTTCAGTTCCAATGGAATCTGGTGGCTTTTTTTTTTTCTTCCTCGGTCACTGTATACATGTGTTGCACAAACAAATATGCAAGTCACACACACATACACATAAAACAAACATACAAACAAGCAAACTCAGTGGTAGAACTAGGGTGGTGCACACCTGTAATCGACACTTTGGGATGTGTATGTAGGAAGATCAGGAGTTCAGGGTTACATGTGGCTGCACAGTCTAGGGTACTTAAGATTTTGTCTCAAGAACAAGGACAGAAATCTCAGTGGCCATTGTCTAGTCACTAAGGTATGAGGAAATTGGAACTTGGGGCTTGAATGGTGGAAGACAAAATTCTAGGAAATTAGCATGCACACTGGTATCAATGATTGTGATATGGGAACTCCTAGTTCCTTTCTGTATTTGAATTTTTACAAAATTCAAAATTTTGT